GCAGAGAGCGAGCGAGAGAGAGAGAGAGAGAGAGAGAGAGAGAGTAAAAACAAATACATGTAGTTTAAATTTACTCCTGGTATAATTGTATTATTGTACGGTGACTTGCTCGCGTCGATGTAGGATGCCCGGCATTTATAATCAATCTAGCAAGATAGCTAGTTCAGTCGAAAGCAACAGACAATTTAATATTGGCGCGTGCGCTTGGTTATATACGGTAAAATTGTCTGTCGGTATCAACTGAATCGCTATCTTGCTAGATTGATTATATAATAAAGGCCGGGCATTCTTCATCGACACGAGCAAGCCCCCGTACAATAATACAATACATGTAAGTGTGTGGCTTGAAACTAATATGTGCTCTACTCGTTCGACTGCCATCCAAAATGCGTATTACGTACGATTGATGAGGCGTTATAAACATCGAGGTAGATCGGCTACCTATCACACCTTGTTTAATAGCTATATCCTTCCTATGAATGAAGGAGTCGATTCGCTCAACACTAGCCTACTTATAAAAACCTGAACATTTCCGAACTCATGGTTACATACATTCCATCTTGTGCTGACGACAAATAACGCTATAACTGCAAGTTATGGAGCTCTTACTGTGAGTGTAGGAGACGATTGCTTTTCCTCCTCCAATGCGAGAAGGTATACATCGCAAGTGTCTACCGCAAGTGAATGGTCGCGAACCCCAGGCATTGAAACCGATGCTAAAGTAACCCACGGGCGTATCGCTGTATCTGCCCGTCGTAATCGGGGCCTAAGAGTAAACCCTGGTAAGGGGATCAGGACAGAATTAAACACGCGAAGATTACAGTGAGTGACTTGTACCACGCCCGTTAGCGACAACCACGGGCACTTCTTGTGAGAGCAGCTTACGTCGGCTCGGCGTGTGCATAGACGATGCGGGGGAGACTCACGCGGAAAAACCGAGCGGGCTGTTCAACGCATTAGGCGAGTAGCAGTCTATTTAGCTTCCATCAAACGGATTATCTGTGACGGCGAATGAGGAGCGCTTGCTAACCAGCGGTGATTTCGTTGCTGGGGCAGGCATCAATCCACGCACAGCTAAGCGCACGATTTGCAATCTCACTTTCTAGACATTGCACACGTAATGAATGTATCACGCGTTGCATACGTACGTATCATTTGCAAATGAAACTCTCTCCCCCCCCCGCGCGCGCGCGTGCGTGCGTGTGTGCGTGCGTGCGTGTGTGCGTGCGTGCGTGTGTGCGTGCGTGCGTGTGTGCGTGCGTGCGTGCTACCTGGGAGTGAATGCTCTCATTGAGTTCATTGCAGACGGTAACACCGAGGTGGCGCATATTTAATAACGAGGTACGCGCAGCGGCCGCTCTTAATAATACACCATTCAATAACATTTGCTTACGTGAACGGCCACTTGGCGCAGGTGTTCGCTGTTGCCCGACCTGGCTACATTCCCTCATCGGGGCACTGGCGCCGTCAGCACCGTTCACAGACCCATTAAGTAGGGCCGGACCCTTCATTGTAACGTGGCGCGGTAATGTGCCCGCTTCGTAACCCAAGAAAATACTACGCCAAGCCTTGTGATCGGTACCCAGTGCTCATCATTAACCTCAAGTAAGATGTACATGCAGCGGGCCACACAGGCAGGCAGCAGTTCCGCCGGTGATGTGGAGATCATATAACGATTAGTATTATAGGGTTATCATAAATAGCAAATAAATAAATAAATAAATAAATAAATGTACAGGTTATTATACATTATACATTATACATATATATATATATATAACGTCGAGCCACATTTTATAGATGTTCCCTTATGCAATAATACAGTCATGTTTATTCATGTTGCGTCCCCTCATGGCGAGAGTAAAATTAAGAGCGTTTTTTATTTTTTATTACAGTGCTGCGCAACAGAATATAGGGGGGGGGGGGGGCGTGGACGGCAGCTGTGCTTGGCAGAGTTCACTTGATGAATTTCAATGGGAGATTTTCAGGTGTTATAGAAATGGGAGACTTCAGTGTATAAAAGAATAGGGAATAATGGCCACGTGCGACGTAATGTGGCTGGTCGAGGACTGCCCGAGCAGCGTATTATGATATAGCTCCATAGGCCTACTACCTATACCTACACCTACCTATTATACCTATTATATTTACGATTCCTTTATAGCAAACTGTTCCTTTACTGCGACTATATATATAAATCAGTTTGCGCTGCATTGCTTTTTTAGCTTCTTCCCTCTAGATCTTTCTTCTTATCATTATTTCCATATATTTTCAATCCTAAAACTATACTATTCAATAATTTTAATATTTCACTCCACCATAATCTTCTATTCTCCCTCTTTCTTTGACTCTCCTGTTACACAATTTTCAGGACTGCATGCGTCCGCCTGATTGCGTATTCCACATTTCATCTTATTTACGCATCTCTGTTTTAGTACAGTTGTACAATACACAACCGCAGTTTAGTCACAAGATATATTTATTATTTTCATGTTTTCAGATGTAAAGCAGCGCTTTATGATGAAGATCTTCCTGCCACCTCCGTCATAATCACTTTCCACAACGAAGCTAGATCAACGCTACTCAGAACTGTGATCAGGTAACGCCTTCGCTCCTTCTCATCGACGTTAAAATAAGCGTACTTTTTTTTAAAAACGAAAGTATAATTTCTATATCCTACTTGTTACGACAAGAGGGTCTGATGCCTTTACGCACAACATAGACCGGTTCGCTTACAATACTGCATCTTCGTCATAGTAGCATTTCTACGATATAGGTTTATGCCCCGAGTGATTCATAATAGATGATGCAACCGGAAAGTGGCATGCATTGGGTTTTTGTTGTTACTCGCGCAAAAATCGGCTTTGAATTCATAGGCTATCTAGAGTCGCACATGTGCGTCGTGGGAGAAGCAGTGTATTGCTTTAGCTACACAGCCAATGAAACAGGGAAATCTGAGAAGCATGTTGAAGTTTTTACCCCGCATGCTTGTTGCAGCGTCTTAAACAGAAGTCCTGTTGAGTTGGTCAAGGAGGTGATCCTGGTGGACGACTACAGTAACGATCGTAAGTAACCCATGCCGGTTTAGAACAACGCGGAGAGGGTCTTACAAATTACGCTATAGTATTATTTAAAAAAATGCTTTCACTGAAGATAATTTCAAGAGTTTGTGCTAGAATGTATTTTAAAATCCGTTTAAGTGGGATTAGATGAGAGAGGGAATGTTAAATAGTACTATGATGTATGATCCACGTACCGCCAATTCTCGTAGCTCATTGTTTCGTTAATTAGTTGCTTGAAATAATTAAATTGATACTTATACGATGGTTTTGTATGTAATCGCACATGTAGGTTTGCATAATCATGCTTCTACGGCAGTAGAAAACTGCTTCACTGTGGTTTATATCGTTAACAGCAGCCGACGGACAATTGTTAACATCTATCCCAAAAGTCAAGCTGCTCAGAAATCAAAGGCGAGAAGGTAATGACATACGTTTATCTTTACCGACTCAATAAAATATTCAATTGCACTCCTATATACATATAGATACATAATACACAGGCGCGCACACGCACTTACGTACATAGGCACGCCCGCACGTACATAGGCACGAACGCACGTACATAGGCACGCACGCACGTACATAGGCACGAACGCACGTACATAGGCACGAACGCACGTACATAGGCACGCAGGTACGTACACAGGCACGCACGTATACACAGGCACGAGCGCACGTACACGGGCACGCACGCACGTACACAGGCGCACACGCAAAAATAGAGCCTATGTGACGTGCATTTGAGCCTAGTGCAGCGTTGCAATGTTTGCCAATCATTTTGCAGGTCTTGTGAGATCGCGTGTAAGAGGAGCAGACCTGGCCAAAGGCGAGATACTGACTTTTCTCGACAGCCATTGTGAAGCTAACATCGACTGGCTTCAACCCCTTCTACAGAGGGTGAAAGAGGTACACTGTCAAAATACACAGTAATTTCCGCTAAATTTCCATTTCTGTTGTCGCTTCTGCTGCTGCTGTCACTACATCGTATTTGCTGTCGGCGCAACTGCTGCTGCTGCTACCATTACGAAACGTCTAGCTTGCAGCTAGCGCTCTTATGCATCTCTGTATGCCTCTATAGAATCCCTCTGCCGTGGTCAGTCCCGTGATAGATGTGATTAGCGATGACACATTCCAGTACTTCTCTTCTTCTGCGGAACTTAGGGGAGGTAAGATCTTTCATTTGCATATTTTTACATGCTGAATGGCATGGCTCCATACATTGTGTTTTCTCGGCGCAGGAATCGGGAAAGGCTGAAGAAAAATTGATCACTGTATCGCCATGGTATTATCGCCTATATCTGTCTGCGAATTGGGCGAAGACATATCCTACTACCGTCGTGTTATCAGAAGTGACATAATATAGATGCGTGCATTATCTATACAGATATTAATATTATGTCACTCCTGAATTTATCACATTTCTTTGGGAAGAATTCGGGAATCATGTGACACTTTCGTGTGTTGAAAGTACGGGGATTTACTTCGGATAATCGTTGAAATTGTGTGAATGAAGGTCATACTTCTTTTCGTGGATTCACTGCGGCACGTCTTAACAGGTCATAAATATAATATAATGATTACGTTTCATTCCTAATTAGGCTTTGACTGGAGTCTGCATTTCAAGTGGGAACCAATTCCTAAAGACGCAAGAGGCAAGATGAAAACACCCATTGATGCTATCAAGTGAGTGGCGACTATAGTGTCTACATGCCAGCCACCAACCGTCGAATGCCTACTTACATATTGGCGGTTGTAGTTGTTTACGCTGTTTAATAGTGTTAACATTAGGTGATTACACTTCGCCACAATCTCTATACTGGGAAGAGAAATAAATAGTCCAAGTATATACTTATACTCAATATTGCTATTGTTCCATTCTGTATTACAGGACACCTGTGATATCTGGAGGCCTATTTGTGGTCAACAAAACATGGTGGGTACAGCTTGGAAAATACGATCAGATGCTTGATATCTGGGGAGGAGAAAACTTTGGTAATTTCCTGTTCTTTAAATCTATTTCATACGAAGGCAAACATAACCTCAGCATAAATTATACAATGCACACACTGCCATCATTCGAAGAAGACTATACATTGATTTGTTAGAATGACACATGCCAATAAATCTCAGGGCTAACGTGAAGCTCTAACTACATTGGCATGGTACAAGAAGGTGTCACCGTTTTTCCATTTGTATAAGCAAATAACGTCATTCAACATCAGGTATAACAGTTACCTGCTGAGAAATCCTGTGATTATTTCTCCTGCCAGTAACTATGCATATATTACGAGTGCTTGGTAATAATGGTATTGCAACCTTTGGCATGTTTCAGAGATCTCATTCAAAACATGGATGTGTGGTGGAAGTTTAGAGATAACGCCCTGCAGTCGCGTGGGGCACGTATTTAGGAAATTTCACCCCTATACTTTTCCAGATGGCAATGCAGCCACATATATAAGGTGGGTATACCTTATAGGGAACTGACAACAGATGGTGATTACGTTAACTAATAACTAGACCGCATTTTATTTTACAACTAGCCGATGTAATCTATGGAAGTTAGTGACATTTACTTTTTTTAATGTGGTTGGGACTGATCGCTAACTTTTGATTATTACTTGTGCAGGAATTCTCGTAGGATAGCGGAAGTGTGGATGGATGAATTCAAGCGGTATTATTATGCTGCCAGACCAGGTGCTAAGACCACATCATTCGGCAGGTGAGACACACTATGACAGCGTGCCTTTGTGATCACGAACTGAGATGCCTTCATCAAATCAGCCAAGCAGATAACTATAACACGCGAGATCGCGATAACACGCGATAACACGCGACATCCCACAAATCTATAATATGGTACCGTTGTTCTAGCATACACGGTGCAATGTAATAATTGTTGGGTCAGATGTTTGTCAAAACTCTAAATATCTCTTCTAACCTGCACTTGCACCCTATCATCTATGTGGATAGGAATTCATTATGATTTCGGCTCACGTCACAAATGCATTGTACCTGATGCTGTGAATGTAAACTTTTTTTAAATCCATCATGCCTAGGAATATTACGCACAGTAGCGCCGTTACCCAACCTTGCGCGTTCCATTCATTCCTGGTATTCCAGCATTACCATTTTAATTCAGTGTGGTGTGCTCGAGATATCTTCCCATTTTGCTCTCTTAAACACAATAAACATCTCAGTTACATTATCTTGATTATATAAAAAAATACTCTATTGTACCCTAACTAATATTGTTATATGACGACTATGCTCCCTACTTTATCAGATTCAGATTTAAAACTCTTTGACATGCAGTGTACATACTACATAATGAATTATACGTTATCAAAGCACAGCACATGGCAACTGTCGAATTTCAATACATTGAAATCAACCACACCAAACGGTCTGTCGTTCCAGTATCGCTGAGAGGCAGGCGTTGAGAGAAAGCCTTAAGTGCCAGTCATTTCGATGGTACATAGAAAATATCTACCCAGAGCTAGAGTAAGTACTGATGGATATACAGCAGATAATGTCATATTGAACATAACTGAGAATCACTATGTATGCCATCACGTGTATTATAAGCATTTATGGCTGGTGACGATCTGCCCAGAACACAAATATGTACAGTTCATTGATCAGTGATGCTACGTCCTTCATACGTTTAAATACGCTGTATGCAGCTGTCATCATGAATCTAGACAAAATTTTATTTAGATGCCAGAAACTGTGCTGTCCCGATATATATATATATATATATATATATATATATATATATATATATATATATACCAGCATGCACTGTACCTTACCTAGCTAATTAGGCTCCGTGCCACCTGTCCGTTTCGTTTAGGCTACCCAGTGTGGACGAGCTGGCCTCAGGCCAGATAAAACAGGGAGAGCTCTGCTTAGACGCCCATAAGAAGCAGCCGGGGGAGCGACCTGTCGTTTCGGAGTGCCTCTCCCCACGAGACTCGCAAGTAGGGGTCTTTTTTTTAACAAAAGTTTCCCGCAAGGTCTACATTATAATTACGCTGTACATCAGCTGTACGTTTACATGCGACTACGATAAAACGGTATTTTGTAAGGTTTTCTTCGTACATTCTAGCAAGAAAGGATCATGAGAATACTGTCACTACCTACAGCAAATTTTCTGATCACCTAATTGAAAAATTAATGTTGAAAAACCATCATGATTGTCACAAGGCAAAAATTAACCAATGCTCGCTATTGTATAGAATAAAATTTAAAAGTTTTAAACAATATATTCGTTCACTTTGGAACTAAACTTGATGCAAATCATCAAGCTCAAAGTTCAAGTTGCATTCACATACTTGGCTTGCGTTCAAGGAATGGACATACAACAAGCGAGGATTTCTCATTACCTACAGTAGCCTATGCTTGGCTGTCAGCGACAAGCAACATGTTATAGTGGATCACTGCAGCAAGGAAGATCAGCAACAGGTATCATATCTGCATCCTCTGAGACTCTAATACTTCAGAATATTATTACAATCTGTCAACTAGTTGACTATGAATCTGTGATGTTTCTAACTCATGGTAGATTCTGCATTTGGTATTGTTGTCGGTTAAGAAATGGTCAATTAGGATTGCTGGTGATTTGGCGTTTTTTTATTACTATGTAGCATTTATGTTTTGAGTATAAGTATTGTATTTTGTGTATGTTTATGTAAAATCCTATTCCTATCCTCATTGTAGTATTTTAAAATTGTAGTATTTTAGTAGTTTTTCACACAATTGTAATCAGCAGATTCTCCATACAGTTCTCAATGAAAACTGTAGTCATTACAAATAATAATAATAATAATAATAATAATAATAATAAATTGGCTCACAGCAGTAACAGAAGGCAACTGAACATTTCTATGTTTCAGCACTGGCACAGAAAAGGTAGAGCAATTATCCATGCCAAATCCAAGAAGTGTATGGACAGTCTAAATTCAGCCACCATGGGACTTGCCGTGTTAGACTGCTCACCGGGTACTTACACACAGCTGTGGGACTTCACATTAGAACTACAAACTCAACACGTAGTGTGAAGGTAAAGTCAAGAAAACACAGGAGTCACCGGGTGAAAAGACATAATACAGAAATATGAGAAGGTCATGCTGACGGAATCAGAAGCAAACGGCTGGTGAAGAAAAGACAGACTAGAAACGAGTGTGTAATGATAGAAGCCCGATGACGGTGGGGGAAGGGTGAGCTTACGGCAAGGGAAAGACGAACAATGGCCCCAAATCCAGACAAACAAATATATAGATCCACAGACTGGCTGGATAATTCAAATACATTGTGGTAATTAAAAATATTTCTCATCATTACTTTATATAGATATCCGTGTGATACACACAGAGTTACAATGCAGTAATACGTTTTTTCAGTATTATTCATTCCTAGTTCATAACCATATGGGATCATATCTAAGTGTAATTGGAGATTTAATGGTAATGATTTTAATTTGTTATTTGATGAGTTGCTGATTTCACTTTCTGAACATATCAAAGACATTTATGTGTAAATGTGAGGGTACTCGCGTTCACTTTACAAAAAGAATTTTTATGGACACATCACTTACTAAAGCCAATACTCTTAGAATATAAACATACATATATTTTTTTATGTGCCAGGATAAAGGTTTTGGTAGCTTTGTCAATGTCTTGAATGTTATATAGATAGTAGTCATCTACACATTTGCTTGTACCGTTGTACGACTGTTTAGCTGAAATCTAACAGTGAAACAGTGAATGAATGACTTTTGCGCCCTCTTCAGGTGATTTTTACAACATGTGTCAACTCGTGTTGAGTGACCACGTTATGTGGAACAACCACGTTTTCTGCAGATTGAAATTTACGACTAGCTACTTACATTAAAATCCATGAAAGACTAGCAGTAGATAGATTTAAACTGAAACCATATCATAGTTTGATTATTTAGCATAGTGATGATACAGAGGTAGCCACAGTAGCTTTATCAATGATAATTGTGCCTTTACGAATTGACCACCGATCTATGTGATTCTTACCACCAATAAGTCCTGAATTTTCCAAACATTTTACCAGCGTATTCACCACAAAACATGAATAAAATCACACTAGCCTATCATGGCAATAACTGCAACATTTCATAGAAAGTATGCTTAGATAATTGTTAGATAAATTTACCAATGAATACGAAGTGATCATTCTAATAATTCTCAGATAATGGGCTTTTCAGTCTTATAGTGAAATAGTCTCAACAATTATACATCATAAATGTATAATGTGTTATATATTGGTTAAATTATTGCATGGTATTCAACTGACCATCTGTAAATATGTGCAGTTGTATAGAAAAGGTGCGTTTTTTCTGCTGTATATATTTGTAGCTGTATAAATGAGTGTTCCTGAAATGCATTGTTGTAAATAAATACTGTGTGCTAATAGGATGACTTGTGACAATAGAAACCGAACATTATTATTGCTATACCTAATCTACTTTAAATTTGGTTTTGTGTTGTTCTATGATACCTGGAATCACCTCTTTGTCAATGTTCACATTTCAAACAAAAACCATTCATTTTCTAAAAACAACCAATTCAATATTTACTAATCACCAACTTTATACATTATTAATAGTATGGCATGTAATATTGAAACTTAGTGACTTTCACATGGCAAATTATTTGATATTTGGTCTTTGTTGTTGAAAATATTATAAAGGAGTGCCTGACCAAATAGTAGTTTATTAACATCATCTAGTTTAATGATCAGTGCTTTTTCACTAAAGGAGACTTCTTTGACTTATTCTTCTTTTTCTTTTTTTCCATTTTTGAGCCCACATACGATGTTGATGATGAAGTTGTTGGTTCAATACTTAACGTTTCCATAGCATCTGTTGTATTGGTTGTCTCTGCAACATCTGAGCTGGTCTCTGGTTGGGGGCACTCAATCTCCAAGTGTTTAGGGATCTGTATCTGTCTGTCACTGAAGTGGTTACGTACTGAAACGGACATCGATAAACATAGCATTTCTTCTTGAATGTCCAGGATTTTAACTTTCACTGGTGACTTTAATTTTAATAACAAGATTCATATTCTTATGCAATTAAGCAGACAAACCACCCTAACACATTGGCTTGCCAACACTCACTATAAACTATGAATTTCTAATAATATTAAATATTAAACTTATCATTTCACCTGTGGCATTATCTTTTATGTCCCAGACCTTTACCGATGACTGTTCTCCACCAATAGCCACTATATAAGGAGCATCTGGGCATGGGGTACAACACTGCAAGTGACCCTGCAACATAACAATTCTACATAGTACATCATGAACATACTCTTACATCTACATACTTGATAGATTGAGTACTCATCCTGATACGTAAACTCTAGTCTTGTAGACAGCCCTGCTTTTCCAAACTATCAGACTCACATTAACATACAGAAAATGGGTTGACATAGAGCGGGCTACAGGAAATTAACATTATAGAACGTATGCATCTATCACACACCTGGTGTACACAGGTGGCCAGCTTAATTCTCTAACTTGATCAAATGTGGCAATCAAATAGTGATTTTGCTAGCAGGACCACAGTGCTGATGCCCACTTACTAAGTGCAGGTCCCTCTCCAACACACACTCAGGCTTGTTGTCTTTGAGGTCCCAAATTTTGCAGGTCCTATCTGCTGAAACTGTGGTCAGGCATCCTGCTATGTGGTTACTCAAGCTTAAGCCTGGAAAACCGCAACATCATACAGCAAAAATTAGTCACCAAAATAACAAGCTGACCATTCTTCAGTGAAAGCATAATCATGACTATCGATAAAAATTCCAGAAAACTCACCTGTTACGGCTTTTGTATGTGCTCGTAGAGTGAATACTGTGCCAGTCTGCCTCACATCTACATAGTAGACAAAGCCAGTCTCTGTTGAAGCCTGTAAAATTTAATATCAAAGCATGATAAATTAATCTACTTCTGTCACATTTAGCTTTCTCACTTCACAGGTTTGTGGGATTTTGTAGACTGTTTGAAAGATACATGCAAGTGTAAGCACTTGAATAAAGAAGCAGCTGATGATGCAAAGCATTGAAAGTCACAGAGGTTTATCACATAAGTACATCAACACACCAAGAAATAGAATGGCTCAAAGTGGTTCCATATTACTCTCTCCACCTCTCCGTCAAACTGCCAGGCTTTGTGGTTGTTTGATGGATCTCGACAATCAAATAGCATCGCTTTACTGAAAGAAATGCAATCTCTCAAACTCTTGAAGTTACCACTTTCTTTGCATTGCTTGCATCTACAACCAATTAAACCTGGAAATACGTTTGTAATTATGAAAATAAAGTGTTACGAATGTGGTTTACCACGATTGATATACGATAATCGATGTGTATTCTTTAAGTGGGTTTTAACTCATGTAACTAAGGTTACAACTCACTGATCACAGCATCCAGTCAGTAATGACTGACTCTCAAACGGATGCCACACTAGCGACTGCACCTTCTCCTGGGGCTCTGTTATGTGCATCGCCATCTTCCCTGAATTTAAATCCCACAGACCAACAGTGAAGTCAGCACTTCCACTTGCCAAGATGTGCCTAAAATGACAACCTTGTATTTAATTTAACATTTAAAATTGAAGATTAATTGCAGTAGAGCCAACTGAAGGGTGGTACTATGGAGAGAATTTATATTTTCACCTTAATATATACCTGTGAAATGACACACACAGTTTGGACCTGTCACTATGGCACAATGAATACCACCAGATTTTAACCAAATATTCACGATTTATCTTGAAATTTGAACTTTACCACCTGTCAAAAATTTTAATCTCACTTGACATGATCAATAATTTTACCAAATCAAAATGAGGTTTTCTTATAAGGCCATGGGTATTCGATTCAGCATCATAAACTTGTTTGGTTTTGTTATTCCGCCGAGCATTCTAAATCAGACTTCATACTGAAAAAACTAATACCAACCTACATGATAAGACGACACTGCAAGCAAAAAATCCCATAGAGATTTTTAATTGTTGGCTATGTATTGAAGCCTATATATAAAAAGCGAATCACACAATAGTACCGAGCCTGCTTGTTCCATGAAAGGTCTAGCACTGCATCCTCATGAGCATCTAAGGCTGTGTTCTTGCTCTTCCTTGCCTTCTTCGTCTTCTTTGTTACTTTGCCTAGCTGATATGCTGGTTCTATACAGTCGATGACATCAAGGTCCCACACATCAATATGAGGCGACAGTGAACCAACTGCTGCAAAGTTTCCTGCAAAGATGACGACATCATCATTCTACATTTGTGTTGCCCAGTACCAACAGTGAAACAGTGTTAGTGGAACCTGGAAAAGCTACTTCTTTAGCTTGGTCCAGGAAACGTAAGCCCGGCGCACATTGCCGAACATTTTGCTCAAAAACATTATCGTAGCAATGTTCCATGAAATGTTCGGCAATGTGCGGGGAAAAAAGTCGCCGAACATTTGTTCCGAACAATGTTTCTGAAGATCGGAAATGTTCGTCAATGTGCGCTGAATGTCGAACAATTCTAGGAACATTTGTAAAGTAGTAACCAATAGCAGCACGATATGTGGTCACATGATTTTTGTGCCCAATCATGCGCCGATCACGTGACTCTTTACAACACAGCTACTAGACGGCCCCACGAGATTGTTCGCTGCAAAATATTTGGCAATGTGCGCTCAGCAATTGTCCACCCGCACATTGCCAGACAAAAACATTTGTTCGGACGAACATTTGTTCAGAAAAATGTTCGGCAATGTGCGCCAGGCTTAAAGCAGCACCTCTCCTCACCACATGAGAGAACAAACATACAAGATTGTTTTTAGACAGAATACCTCACCCAATGCAAATACTGGGTGACCTAAATAAATCAGCAGAAATGCAGCAGTGTTAAAGACTCTCATTCGTAACAGTTGAGGTATTTGTTAGATAAATGTGTAAATATAAATATAAATATTTTACAGATTAATAACAAATTTAAATAAAAAGTACTTACTGTATTTTTAACAAGCATAATAATAGCATCAACATCAATCGACTGACATAAAAAGAAAAAATAATGTTCTGCTGATATCATTGAAAGAATTTTAATATATTTATGTAATTACACAAACTTACCCGAAGAGTTGTCTGATGGATCAAAATCTATCCACTCCACACATAATGGAAAGGCAGGAAGCAAGATGTCATGATGAATAAATAGCTGTTTTTCTTCCTCATTATAGACTGAAATCATAGAAAGTGTAAAACACATATAAGTACTAACAAATTTAATAAAGTGTATGTAAATTAACCAAGAGATGTTGATGGAACTACACATTTATTTATGTAATGAAAACATGTTTTTAAGGTCCAGGAGAATGTCACAAGTTCTCCACAGTCAGATATGCTTGTTATGTTAAATTAACAAATGCTATAACAAACAAAAATGTTAAATCAATAGTACACTTGCAAAAATATGATGCACTTATTCAAATATAAAATGTTTTGATTACTATCTCATCTGTTTTATACAGCTATTCACAAGCTTACCATAAACATCCAAGTTGCTACAATCTCTTTCTACATGCCCTGCGAGTATCAAGTTGTCTGTTGGCTTGATTACTAGATTTTCGTCATCCTCATCCTGCGAACAATCAAAGATCTTTTCTACTAAACTATTCTGCACCAGTATTCATCGGAACAGACATTTTTAATAAAACCTGTCATTGATACCGAATTGGAAAAATGTATATGTTACGTAGCATAAATATACTGTAGCTTAACTAACAATAATGGTGAATGCTATAGTGAATAGCACTGCTAGCATGATAGGTCTATATTAAACTCAACAATATGTTCTACACACGAACGTGTGCACGAAACAATTTTACCTTGTCATCTCGCAAGGTGATGTATGGGTCTTCATTGTTACTAGCATAGTATGTGAGGCTTCCAATTCCTGACAGTGGATTATCTTGGAAATCTGTGGGGAAAAAAACAGAAAATGTCAACTCATGTGGTTTAGATATAATATCATATTATAGTTTTGCGAGCTGCTCTGGTAACGACAACCACACCTTCTTCGTCATAGGTTTCCAGATGGTATTTTGCCATTTCATCTTCAATAGCTTGCATGTCATCAGTGGCTTCATCTTTTCCTATTTCCACAGTACTTGGTTTTCCATCTGCATCATCTTCAACAACTTCATCGATGTCCCTATTGAAATTATTTTGATTTCTGAACAGTACATGGTACATTTTAAATTAAATATGTTTCCTTAAAATTGCACAGTCAATACCAATCTACCAGAAATATTAAATGGAAGTTATAAAGCAATTATTACGCATTATAACGCATTAACCTTGGACAAATTCAGTTTCCTGACTTCGAATTTAATATCTGTAAAAGAGATACTAACTTATAGTTGAATTAACAACTTTCTCACGGTTTCGAATAATAATAATAAAATAGGGTCATGCTTCACAATCACCCCAACTAGTGCTCTTCAATATACTATCTTACTTTTACATAGAGACTAAGAGACACACAACAAATGGTCTACAAATGTTAACTGGGTGTGCACAAAGAAACAAAAGTATCTACCTACAATGCTCTACTGGTCTAATAAAATAACACATGTAGTGATGAGGTTTTTTGACAAACCTGATGTCGTCTTTTGTTTCCTCAATGATTTTTTTAAGTTCTTCTTCTGACAATGCTACCTACATTAGCAAAAGAAAAAAAATACTATACATAACAGCTTGTGTAAAACGTTTGGGTGCCATCTCTTGAGAAGACTGTTTAAAATCCTATGCCTTAACCTTAATGGCTTAAGTCACTGTTATTGTTAAAACATGACTTACTGTCATATTTGGCTACAAATAGCAGTTGTTGGTACCTTGGTGGAGCAGCTGGAAACATTACGTCCAATTGTTATGAGATACCGGCTATACACGCACCTGCCGCTAGCGGCGCTGATCGTCAACTCGGTTACTCAGCAACCCGCAAGTAGTCAGGTCCCTTAGTGCAAAATATGGGCCGAATCATTACAGGAGTGACAAAAGTCTCAAACTTGGCACAGTTGTAGCTTATGGCAGTACTATAATTATTAGAGGGGGTGCCCAATGCAGATATTCCTTAGAAGTGAATTACAGATGATTAAATGTTTGAACCACCCGACTCCGAACCCCCCTACCGCGCCCGCCTGTATACAATGCCAATACATGTACCAGCAGTACAATGCGCCAGTACACACAGTACAGGCGGGCGCAGTAGAGGGGTTCGGAGTCGGGTGGTTCGAACATTTAATCATCTGTAATTCACTTCCGCGCGCATATATTTGCTAATATATTGACTAATCGTGCGCCAATACGTCGCGCCATAAATCGTAGGTATCTAGAATTTTAGAAATGTAACTCAAATCCTTCGCGAGATATTAGTTAGTACACTATCCTACGGGCCATAGCCGCGCGTATATATATTAGCCTATGAGTGATACCGTGCATATATTTTTGGTAATTAATTAAACTATTCGTGCTTTAACAAACTCAAAATTCACAGAGACCATAGCTAAGACATGTGTTTATATGTATCTAAAATTTTAGAAAATGTACCTCAAATCGTTCGCGAGATATTAGAGTTAGTACACTATCCTTTGGGCCATAGCCGCGTGTATATATTATCCTATGACGATACCGTGCGTATATTTTTGGTAATTAATTAAACTATTCGTGCTTCAATAAACTCACAATTTACAGAGACCATAGCTAAGAGATGTGTTTATAGGTATCTAGAATTTTAGAAATTTAACTCAAATCCTTCGCGAGATATTAGAGTTAGTACACTATCCTACAGGCCATAGCCGCGCGTATATAATAGCCTATGAGCGATACCATGCGTATATTTTTGGTAATTAATTAAACTATTCGTGATTCAATAAACTCAAAATTCACGGGGATTATAGCCAAGACATGTGTTTATATGTATCTAGATTTATAGAAATGTAGCAAGATATGAGAGTTAATACACTTTCATGCCGCCTATAGCGCAATAGCCAGGCTGTAGAGCTGTATACAATGCGCCAGTACAGGCGGGAGCGGTTAATTCGAACATTTAATCATCTGTAATACACTTCTAAGGAATATCTACATTGGGCACCCCTTCTAATATTTATAGTACTGCCATAGGCTACAACTGTGCCAAGTTTGATGCTTTTGTCAGCTCTGTAACGATCATGAAACTAAGGGACCTAACTAAAATGTTTACAATCACAATTGCATTGAATAACCATAGATATACACAACACATGTATGTGTTGTTTATATCTATCATAACCGAGTTGACGATCAGCGCCGCGATACAATAATGTAACCCAACAAGAGTAGGGGTTGCAACTCCCTACTCTTGTGGGGTTACATTATTTTATCTACTACTAACCCATCTACCAAGTGCCAGTGGCAGTGCCAGTGGTTGAGAGACCTGAATTTATTATACTCATGACAATGACATAACTTATCATTCATTCATTGCGGAAAAATATCAATTTTCATCCCTCTATTCTCTATTTCACTCTTACACCAAATTCCTCCCCTTCTGCAAGAAAACAAGTTTGTCAGATGTCAACAAGTGTCGTACACCGTCGTAGTTTATTACTATTTACTATTTAGGTATAGGTTGTGCGCGAGATCTAACTAACGCTGAGAGGGTCTATGTCCCCCAGGGTACTGCCGGAACGTACCCTGGTACTATCTAATATGCCGGACTGTACCTCGCCT